TTAGGGGTTTAGGAAGGGTTTAGGGCCCTTTTTGTGGATAGTCTGCTAGAACCTTCACGAAACAGTGACCTTTTGCAAACCTTGTGTTTTTCCTCTGACTTCGGCAACGAAGGAAAGAGCCCGTGACTCCCGGGCCGTCCCCGACGTCCGGGTCGCCTCTTCGATGGCCCGGAGGTCCCCATCGCCCCGAACGGCCTCCCCGCGGGAAGTCCCGCGCCACATCCCCCCAAGGCCCCTGCAGCCACTGAGAACCTCGAGGTCTGCGGACTACTCCCCGAAACTCCCGGGCCGCTCCTGTGCTCTTGTTCAGGCACTCAGTTTTTGCTTCTTTTTTTTTTATCAGAGAATAGTATCAGTTTTAGTGTATTATACTATAATACTAACACCAGTTTTAGTGTGTTTTGCTATTATCATAGGGGTTTAGACTGAATAAGGTGCCTTCCTAGTTTTGGCATCTTAAGTTAAGTTCCTGAACAAGAGTTACCACTAAAGGGATCTATCGTAAATAGCATGGTTNNTCAATTAAGGAATATACCTTAAGTCTGATTAGGATTCCCATTATAATTGAAGGTATTCCTTAGTCAATGGGTTTTGGCGTCTCTGGTTACCCAGAACCCCAGATGGCTCAAGTTAAGCTCCTTATGACCAGAACCCACCCTAAACCCTAAACCCTAAACCCTAAACCCTAAACCCTAAACTTTCTAAACCCTAAACCCTAAACCCTAAACTCTAAACCCTAAACCCCAAACCCAACCCTCAACCCTAAACCCCAGGATGGAACCCCTTCGGCGCGCCTGACCGGAACCAGAGAAGGGGCCAGAGCCCCACCGCGCAGCGGCCCCGGCGCAACGCCACGACGTCACCGCCGCCAAGGGAGCCTTAGCTGCCTTCAACCTTTTCGGGTTTAGGGTTTGGGGTGTAGAGGTTTAGGGGTTTAGGAGTTTAGGAGTTTTGGGTTTAGGAGTGTAGGGTTTAGGAGAGTTTAGGGTTTAGGAGTTTAGGAGTGTAGGGTTTAGGAGTTAAGGGTTTAGGGTTTAGGAGTTTAGGGTTTAAGGTTTAGGGTTTAGGGTCTAGGGTTTAGGGTTTGGGGTTGGTTGCTATACTACTATACATGGAGGGTCACGGGACCAAGTAAGCATGGTTATATCATAAGTGCCTTTGATCTGGGTTGTAAGTGCGAGTATACTCAAGCCCCATGACCCTGAAAGTATAGAATCCCAAAGCTGATCCCTAGACTCTAAACCCAGAGGCCCCTTCAGTAGACTTAGATCCCTTGAAAAAGCTGGAGCATCAACTCGCCCAAAGTAAGTAAACCCCAAAACCCAAAAACCCTAAACCCTAAACGGTATCATTCAATAGACTGTTCGACCCCTCAAAGCACCTAGTGTTTGTATACTTCCTAGGGAAAACTGCTGGAACGACCTCTAAACCCTGTATCCCCTAAACCCTAAACCCCTAAACCCTTTGAACCCTAAACTCTATACCCCAAACCTTAAACCTTAAACCCTAAACAAACCCCAAATCTTAAACCCGAACCCCTTGACCCTAAACCCTTATACCCTAAACCCCAAACCCCTAAACCCCTAAACCCCTAAACCCTAAACCCTAAACCCCTAATCCCCTGAGCCCCCTAACCCCTAAACTTCCTAAACACCTAAACCCTAAACCCTAACCCCTAAACACCTAAACCCCTAAACTGAAACCCCTAAACCCCTAAACCCTAAACCCCTAAACCCCTAAACCTCTAAACCCTGAGCCCCAAACCCAAACCTCTAGACACCCTAAACCCCTAAACACCCAAACACCTAAACCCTAGACCCCTAAACCCCTAAACCCCTAAACCCTAAACCCTAAACCCTAAACCCCTAAACCCCAAACCCATAAACACCCAAACCCCTAAACCCTTCAACTTCAACCCCTAAACCCCTAAGCCCCTAAACACCCTAAACCCCTAAACCCCCAAGCCCTAAACCCTAATCCCCCAAACACCTAAACCCCCTAAACCCGAAACCCTAAACCCTTATAGTTCCCTTATAGAACCCTTATACATCCTCTTAAAGGATCCCCAAACCTCAAACCTTAAACCCTAAACCCACAAGGGCCCTTAACCTCGGAGCAGTCAGGAGGTCCGCCATCGCGAGACCAGTCCGAAGGTCAACACTACGGGGAACACGGCAGCGGGAGGAGAGTGGGGGGTTAGGGTTTATTCAGGGTTTAAGGTTTAGGGTTTAGAGTTTAGGGTTTACGGTTGATTAGGGTTTATTTAGGGTTTAGGGTTTACGGTCTAGAGTTTAGGGCCTAGGGTTTATATATTTGGGTTTTAGGGTTTACGTTTAAGAGTTTAGGGTTTATGTAGGGTTTACGGTTTAAAGTTTAGGGCTTATTTGGGGTTTAGGGTTTAGAGTTTACGGTTAGGAGTTTATGGTTTATTTAGGGTTTAGGGTTTGGAGCCTAGGGTTTACATAGCCCAAGACCCTCTTAGGAGCCTTGGAGTAGGGTCTGGGGTTTAGGGTTTGGGGCCCTGCTCGCAATGGAGGCCAGAATAATTAGGGCTCGTCAAGATAGTTACTGGCGGTACAATATAATTGCCCCAAAACCCTGTTCAAGTTATGCAGGCCCCTATCATTAGGGGTATTTTGTCGGAGTCGGGGTGGCTTAGCCAGGTATTCTAGCTTTAGTAGTTGGGGCTAGGGTTAGAAGTGTCGGGATGGAGTTCAGGAAGCCTTTATTAGGCAGAAGTTTTCAAGCAAAGCTTCAGCTGTACTTGGAGGATCATGGGACTTAGTAGGTAGGGTTCTACTTGAGGTAACTTATAACCCCAATTACGGGACTTACAACCTTACTTACAAGTCCCCTGATCCCCCAAGTAGGATACCTTCTGCCGAGCCCAGAGTTCCAATTCGCGGTCTAGGACAGGCTTGGATGTACATCATGGTCTTCATCGGGATTGTTGAGGGGAACGCTCAAATTGAACGGTTTAGGGTTTAGGGGTCAAACCCTAAAGTCTACGCAGAGTAGCATAAGCTGTAGACCCCAAACCTAAACTGTCATGTATTGCAGAGGTCGAACGAACAGTATCCGCCTGTAGCCCCTGTTAAAATGTCCACAAGACTATGTGAAAGTACCCCCCCCAAACGGTCTTCGTTAGGCTTCATCAGTTCGCAAGATCATGACTCCTAATGGGCTTCTTGCAATGTCAAGGTCTCAGCAGTTGGTAGACATGTTCCCTTACCTTCGTTCTAGAACTATACTACACCGCAAACTTCACTTCCAATAGTTACGTCCCCTACATGAAACCCTAATCCCTATAAGCACCAACAGAATATGTATGACACCTTTAGGCCAAAACTTGCAACAAACCCAGTTAAACTGTATAGTAGCAATCGTCTAGATTTCTTTCAAGCTCTATAAAAACGGAAAACCCTTCCACAAAACGTTTCGACCTTTGTCTGTTTTGAATATATACACATCATGCTAACAATGCTAGTTCCGCTGACGTTACTCACATATAAGACTAGCAACAATGGAAACAATGGCAATGCGATAGTCTTACTACTCATAGTAGCGATAACCCGGATAATTCCCGTAAAGCGACATGTACCGATGTCGTTGTATACGTAGGCCCGACGTAGGCCTTAAAGAGTACCTATATGGGAATCCCTTTTAAGGAATAAGTATAGACAATCAAGGCACATGGACCCTGCAGCCCTAAACTCTAGAGAACCCGTATAGAACCTTCAAGGCACCATTAACGGAACCCCGTGGAGCCTTAGGGGTACGTACTAGTTTTTATTAAGTTCCCCTAAGCCCTAAGTCCAAAAACCTAAACCCTGAGTCCTAAACCCTGTATCCTAAACCCACAGTCCTAAACCCCTATACCCTAAACCCTACCCAGTACTATACCCTAAACCCTATAGCCTAAACCCCTATACCCAAAACTCCTAAACCCTAAACCCCTGAACCTTAAACCCCTAAACCTTGAACCCCTGTACGCTAAACCCTATACCCCTAAACCCCTAAACCGCCGAAGCTCGGAAGCAGGGACCCAAGAAAGGACATAAGGATAAGCATTTATAGGGATATCCCTATCCTACTGGGAGGATCATGGGACTTAGTAAGTAAGGTTATAAGTCCCTTAATTGGGGTCATAAGTATAGTTACCCTAACTATAACCCTACTTACTAAGTCCCATGAAACCCTAAACCCTAAACCCTAAACCCTTAACCCTAAACCCTAAACCCAAAACCCAAAACCCAAAACCCTAAACCCTTTAAGTAAGACCGTGCCTTCTTGCGGCCCCAAGAAGAGGAGCACGAGTCGATGGCGAGCGCCCGGGCCCTCGCCCGAGCTGGGCGGCGCCTTTGAAGGAGTTGAATGAGGCGCCGTTTTCTGTGATTAGGGTTTAGGGTTTAGGGTATAAGGTTTAGGGTATAGGGTCTAGGGTCTAGGTTTTGGTTTTTTGGGCTTAGGGTTAGGGTTTGAATGAGGCGGGTGTAATTAGGCTCCTGAGTAGTACTCGTTTGCCCTTCTTCTGTTTGGGGTTCCTTAGTGAATCCTTAAAGGGTTCTATAAGGAGCCTATAGGACTTAGTAAGCTTTTGCACTTTTTCATTTTGGGTTCCCTTAGTAGGAAAAGAGTACTCTTATTATTGAGGGGCTGCTGAGAAACCTCGTTAAGGTTGTGAGTTTACGTTTCAGGTTTTGGGGTTAGCGGGTTTGGGGTTAGAACCCTAAACCCTAAACCCTTTAAACCCTAAACCCTAATTAGGGTTCGGGGTTTAGGAGATTTCCGGTTGAGGTTGTAAGTAGGCCAGCTCCGAACCTAAGGCCCTGATACAGCCTCCGCCCACTACTTATAGGCGGCCCGTAACCTGCTAGGTCTAGACTTACTGTTGATGATCCCAATCCTGCACTACCTTAAGACCCTAAACTATGGGACTTATGGTACATTCCTGATTATGGGTAATGCAGATTTTATAGCATCAACAGTATATCATGACACCCTAGATGAGCACCCTCAGCATACGAGGCTTTTGGTGGGTTCCGGCAAGCCGAGCCCCAAGCTCTAAACCTGAAGCCCCAAAGGGTTTAGGGTTTAGGGAATCCCCCAAAGCCTGACCCCTAAACCTTGATCCGTGCGGGTTTTCCGGGAGGTCGCGCCGAGCTCCCCACCAACGCAGCTGAGACAGCCGAGGTTGGGTGTCAGAATGGATTCTCACGGTTTTATGTCTTCATGTTTAGGGTTTCGGGTTTCAGGTTTCGGGTTTAGGGGTTTACATAGGGTTTAGGGGTTAGGGTTCGTGGAAAACTCGTCATGTATGGCCAACGAATTATCCAGTTCTGGGTTCGGCTCGGCTGCTGCAGCCTTTTCCCCGAAGCTGTTGGAAGCCATAGCCGAAGCCCTGCAGTAGGCTAGTAATGGGGAAGCATGAATGAATAACAATACAATTCCTTAGGCCTTAGGGTTCCTTATTATGACTTTACTATGATAAACCGTACAGCCTTGTTCTAATCATGTAGGATCCATGCTGAACATGAGCCGCTGTCAACCTCCTTCTGTGGGGACCTAAACATGATTCACACGGAATGCGGTGTTGCAAGAGCTTTAGGGTTCAGGCTCTAGGTTTTTGATTTTCAGGTTGCCCTCTAGAAGTAATATAGGAATCTTGATAGTTACCTATACTATTTTGGGGGCTCCTTATCATAAGTCTAGTATAATATTCCGTATACCCCTGAAGTCTTTTCCAACATGAAGACCAAGTATTAGTATAGGGTGTGGGCAAGAGGCTCGAGGGTTTCTGATTTAGGGGTTAGGGTTTAGGGTTTAGGGTACAATAAATTATGAGGCCTTTGTCTGATCACGTGTTTTCGAGTTTAGGACATC